ATCTACTTGTCTATCTAAACTTAGGCATCATCCTTCCTGCGCCTCTTGAGATCCTACAAGGACTTCTCTCGCATTGTTATTCAACCCACGCTATACTACGGGCATCGTTCTCATGCTCATCGGACGGCCGACCGAATATCGCGCAAGAACAGACGAAGCACCGATACATCGACTACGGTACCTCGTTAGCAAATAAACCAATCCTTTAACCTCCCACAACCACTGTGGATACCTGAAACCACGAAACCACTCTCATCCCCAGTCCTAACCCCCTTGTGTGGGCGCTGAAACACGCGCCTGCCCGAAATCATGATAGCAAATGAATCTTTCGTGCCCCCAACAAAAAAATAACGTTTCCAAACGAAGACGAAATCGTGCAAAAATACCAAGTCTTTCGTCTCCCCAATCAAAAACATGTCTCCAAACCAAGGCGACATCATACTACAAAAGCAAACACATCGCGCCCCCAATCAAAACACGTTTCCAGAAAAAGACGAGACCACCAAGGTGCGTGGTCCGACCCGCTCACCAAGCTGTGCGGAACTTGTTCAGCTGGTCCTTGTTCATGTACCCGAGTGGGTCCGCTTGCGGGGGGGGCAGGGGCGGGGCGGGACGGCTGCCGAAAAAGCACAAACACGACGCGCCCGCAGCAAGGGTTTCGTCGAGTGTGGAGCAGGGGCCCGGAGAGAGAGAGAGAGAGAAGGAGGTCGGGGGTAGGTCAGGGTTTGGTAGGCGGCACATGCACGTTCCGAGTAAGATCCAAGTACGTTACCGCCACCGCCAACACACCGGTACTACCTGCCGCTGGTGTGCGTTGAACGCGGGGCGAAGAGTGAGATCCAGGACGTACGGGGAGCACAAGTGAAGAAAACGATTTTTATCAATGTTGTGCGTCAGGTGGAGGGCGGTGGAAGTCTGCTTCAAGAAAGAAGTGGAAGATGGAGGCAGGGAAACGTTAAAAAAAATCCTCGCCCGAGATTTCAACAACAAAAATCAGGCTGACGTCCCCCGCTCCCTTCTCCAAACGAGGGGGACACGCAAACAAATGACCCACAAATCGCAGACGAAAACAAGTATTACCACCACCAGTCCGTCCTATCGTAGCCCCCCTCTCCACACACACCTTCGAGCAGCCTCTAGTTCCGCCGAGACCGGCTGGTCGTACCCGAAGAACGCCGCCCACTCTCCAGCCGGCAGCCTGCTCTCACCACGGCACCCAACCACGCGAGGCGCGCGGCCCGACCCAGCAGCAGCAGCAGCAGCAGCAGCAAGCCGTCGCGGCGACGGAATGTTTTCGGGCCGACATGTCGATCCACCGCGCGACAAGCAGACAAAGAACAAACGAGAGAGAGGCAGAGAGAGACAGAGAGAGAGAGAGAGAGACAGAGAGAGAGAGAGAGAGAGAGACAGACAGACAGACAGGCGTTTAACCGGCTTGGTCGATCGGTATTGCCATAAACGAATGAACTCAACTCAAATGGCGGCATGTTAACCCGACAGGTTGACCCACCGCGCGCGAGAAAAAATACGGAACGAAAGAGACAGGCGAAACCGGTTGGTTGATTGCAATTGCCAAAAATGCATGGCAATTCAAGGAAATTGTAAGCAGCACGGTTGAGCCTACATGTCCACCCGATGCGCGAGAAAAAAGACACGGAACAATGACAGAGAGGCGAATCCGGTTGGTCGATCGATCTCCTTGCCATAAACGCACTACGCAGAGACAACTCTAAGCGGCAGGCTTGTGAAACACAAAGAGAACCACGGGAGGGAGAGGGTAAGAAGAACAACAAAGCAATAGAGGCCACCGTAAAAAATGGCGGAGAAGAAGCTGAGCGGCGGCGGGAGAATAAAAACAAGCGTGTGCAGTCACAAGAGAAACAGAGAGTACGTCTAATCTACTTGTGCCGATTTTTCTTGCGGGTATCTGTAAGTGGGAATGGTGCTGCGAGCGGCGGGAATCGGTGTGAAGATGGAAGAGAGCAACATGCTTGAAAGCCTTGGCTGGAATGAAGACCCGGGTGTTGAAAATCTGAAATCTGATGACGCCAAGAACACGAATGAGGAAGGCTCAGACATAAGCTGAGTCGCACGCACGCTTAGGATTCGCCCTACCGGACTGAACTTAGCCGCAGGACACACCAACACGCACACATACACGCCTACACCCACATTGTAAACACCACACCATGCACATGTTGATGCAGACGAACATGCCACCCGTTTTCGTTATTCCCCCATTGTTGTTCAAAGGAATAGCTACTCGGGATGAGCGAGAAATCAACGGTGGTACATCGGGATCACTTCGCCCCCACTTCCCACACCATTTGTACACGGCTCTTTCCCGCCAACCATCCATTAATCTGTGCGTTAGTAGTACTGTGGCACATAGCCTCGGCTTATACACGTTACTACTGTGAGTGCGCCACAACAACACGTCGACGACGACGACAACGACGACAACAAAAAACATCAGGAACATCATACCATCACTATCAAGAACAACGACAGCACCACCACCAAAAAAAATCATCATCATCATCATCATCAACAACATCAGCAACAGCAACACCACGACCGCCGACCCCACCACCAACACCACCACCACCAACAACAACACCATCACCGCTCACCGTATCCCAGCCTCCGAGGCCACCTTCCGGATGAAGGCGTTGTGGGTCAAAATCACCTCCTCCACCGAACCCACGTCCTCGCGCAGCTCGCACACCGCACCCGCCGACGACTCGTCCTCCTCTTGCTCGAACCCTCCCACCCCCCTCCCGCCGCCGCCGCCGCCGCCGCCGTCGCCGCTAGCCGGGTGGCCTTGGCCCCCGCTACCGATGCTGCGGCTGCCCTCGCAAGCGGTAGTACCTCGGGCGGAGCTAGGGGCGGCGGTGCTCGCCCGCGTCATGCCATCTCGGGGGGTATCATCGAACATGAGGCCGACGCCCACGTGGTCTCCCGGGGCGCTCTGAGTGCGGGGGGGGGGTTGAGGGGGGAGAGGGACAAAGAGGTTGGGAGACGGGGGAGGGGTGTACTCATAGTCGTGCATGCCGTAGTCGTTAGACCATTGACCTCGGGGGGGGGGGGACTACGCCACAAAACAATGTGGGGGGTTGCATCTTCGATCTTCGTTTACGCTTCGCGCGTGAGCCCGGCCTGTCGGCGCCGCCGGCAGCAAGATAGCGTGCGCAACAACGAGGCGAAAGGAAACCCATCCATACAAAAACACGACAGGCAATAATTGCAAACCTTATCACGGTTGCTATACAACGATAATCCTGCGAGTGAACGGTAGAAGAGGCACCAAGAAAAGTTGCGCAAGAACGACAGCGAAGAAAGCGAGCAGACCAAGCAACGCCAAGCAACCAATGCAAGCGAAACAAACAATGCAAGAAAAGCAAAACATGTCTCACCCTGCCTCCGTGCGAGTCGCCCGCCATCATTGCCTCCTCCCCCTCGGGTCCAAAGGGAAAGTCGGGACCATCTTGTTCCCCGCCAACGTCGAGATCATCCATCTGGTTTGATGCGTCCGCAAAAAAACGAACAGGGTGCACACATGTACACGTATACGAAAATCAATATGCAGGAGTGACAAAAGAGAAACGACACATAGGGCAAGGGAGAAGGGGGGGGAGAGAGAGAAGGGGAGAATAAAATGGGGCCGGGGGGGCAAGCGAGAAAAATGAAGAACACCAAAGTAGGACTTGTGGGCGGTGGACGGCGGCGGCAGGGATGAGGGGGGGGAAGAGGCGTAGGAAGATTATGATGGAGCGCTTGGAATAACTTCTACACAGGCTTTCCGAACCGTAACCGTACCGTAACCGTACCGTAACCGTACCGTAGTGTCTCGAGCAACTCGGAAACTGCCATATGCTAGCGTGGAAACTACTCGAAGCTAACAGGTAGAAAATTGTCAACAGATCCTGACGAACTACAGGGGGAAATGCCAAGCCGGCAGCTGAGCTCACCCGTATCCGGAGTCCGGCCAGGAGGTCTTCGCTGGAAACGCTTCTGCGGAGGTCCCTCTTAGCGCTTGCGGGGGACAGGCTCAGCCTCCGAAGGATGTCCCTGCGAGGGGAAACATGAACAGCGCGAGGACGACAGCAGCTGCGAGTTAGCCAAACTTTGCGACGGACACAACTGGCTGTGAGTTGCGACAGGTTCGATCAACAGGCGGTATGCTTTGAGAGCGCAAGCATTGGGGGAGGGGGGTTCCCTTGAGAGACCGTCACTCATGTTTCGGTGCTGCGCTATTAGATGCGGTTGATGTCTGCCTCGTGTCCACCGGGAGAGTGACGCAGCGTGGCACCACGACTTCGAGGTTTGGTCGTGCACTCAGTCCAGAGACAACCATGACACCACCGCCGACGTTGCCACCGCCAACACCAACAACAACAGCACCTACCTGTCAGCGCTCGGCGAAGGAAAATTGTATGTAGGCTGTCCAACAACACTCCCGTCAACAACACTACCACCAACACTACCACCAACAACAACAGCACCTGTCAGCACTCTGCGACGGAAAGTTGTAGGCCGCGCCACCTCCTCCTCCGCCGCCAGCCGCCGCCGCCGCCGCCGCCGCTGCCGCTGCCGCCGTCGTTACCGCCGCGCGGAAGGAGGGCCGCACCGGGGGAGACGAAGCGGCGCACGGGAGGATGCCGGTCCTGCTGAACACCCTCGCCTCCTCGGGGGTGAGGCTGAGGTCCGAGTCGCCGCTGCCGGCGCTGCCGGCGCAGGCCCGCTTCTCATCGGGGGTAACCGCTACCGCCTTGGATCTCGCCCAGGCGTAGCAACCTTCCCACTCGGCTGCGGCCGCGGCTACGCTAGCGGAAGGGGCCAGCGTCTGGTTGGGGAACGGAGAGGGTGTGCGACAAGACTGGAATATTGTTGTTTGTTGTCGAGGGACGTAAGGATAGATGGCCCACTTTGGGGCTGGGGAGGGGGAAGCTCGGTGTCTAGTCAAGGTTTGGCGGGAATAACTGCCTCCACGCGCGTCCAACGTGCTCAACTCCCTAGTCGACAGCCGTGCACAAGCGCCATGACTTCGCACACGGGAAAACTTCGTCCGTGTCCGTACGAGGTACGAGAAGAGCAGGCGTGCCAGAACATGTGTACACGGCACATCAGAGCACGCTTCCAGAGCGTCAGGACAACAGTAACGGCGGTACAGGCAAGGGTAAGCCAAGACAGCATCTGCTGCCTCTCTCTCTCTCTCTCTCTCTCTCCTAGGCCTGTCAACGAGAGTCCCCGACAGCGACCCGATCGTCGAGATCGAACTTCACCCCGTGTCCACAGCACCAGCACCACTGTGTTCCCATCCCTCGCCCCCCTCCGTGCCACCAAACCATCCGTTACCACCACTGATAAAAGCGTCACCAAACAGCCCCAAAATCGACCAAAAACAACCGACGCGAGTGGTGAACCCAACCTCCGACAGCACCAGTAACAACACACCCGCCTTGCCGGCGAAAGAAAACCATTCCAACGACAGCAGCAGCAGAAGCAGCAATACCAGCAACAGACCTTGTCAATCAGCCCCGCTGCTCCGCCCCCGACCCTCACCAGGTGTCGCCGCGGCACCAGCTCGCCGGTCGCGGTCCAGTCCATCTCCGTGTCCAGCGAGAACGGCTGCTGGGAGGGACCGGCCGCGGCCTCCCCGCCGCTGTCACCGCCGCCGGTGGCGCCAGGGCTCGCGGCGCGAGAACTGCCGTACCGGCAGCCGCTCCCGTTGTGGTTGTTGTTGCCGCCGGCCCCGCTGCTGCCGTTCCCGACGGCAGCAGCGGCGGTGGTGACCGCCCCTGCCACCATGTCTTCTTGCGTCGAGGGACGCCAGGCGGGCCGCCCGAGGGCCTGTTGCTGGTGGCTGCCGCCACCGCTATCCAGGGAGTTGTTCTCGGTGAGGCTGCCGCTTCCACCGCCGTGAACGTGTTGGTAGCCGTCGCCTGCTGCTGCTGCTGCTGCTGCTGCTGCTGCCGCATAGAGGTTTGAGCGCGAGGAAATGGGTAAGCGTTCGTGTTTTGAGCAGGCTGGTGGGACGGGTGGTGGTGTGCGGTGGTGGTAGTAGTAGCCGTGGTGGGAATACTTTAACTGACGATCGGTCGACACTCAAAACCCTTGCGGTGTACAAAGGTGGAGATTTTGAATTTTTATTTTCGTTGGTCATTTTCGTGGGGAGAGGTCAATTTACGAGGATGTGCGGTTCACCTCCGACAAAAAAGCTCGAACTTGGCATTCACCTGTCGACTGAACAGGGCACATTGCATTAACCTGTCGCTGGCGGCGAGGCGTACTCGTGCAGAGAGCGCGCCGTCGACCAATTACCAAGTACATTAGACCCGAATTCCGAAACAGGAGGTTGCACATGCTAGGTGCACGCAGTCATCGTACGGCAAAACCTAGACGCTATTGTCGGAAACGTCTGTGCTGATCTAACACCAAACACCCTTCTCAATAACGCTCGGGAATTTCGTGCGGGCAATCGCCAATGGTATTCATTCGTTGAGGCTGCTGCATTTTTGTGGACACTTGGCAGGAGGTGTGCTTTTCGCGCATTCCTAGATAGTTTGGCTGGGAAGGATTCGGAACGACAATGGCCTCGACGCAAAACAGCTCAAAACAAGAACAAGAACAAGAACAAGAACAAGAAACAAACTCAGTGATACCACCGCCAGATTTACCACCGAACCACCAACAGCAACAGCAACCACCGCCAAAAACAACCAGCATGCAGATATACATGTATCTACACCACCGCCAACACCAGCACCATTTCAACAAACGAAACACCACCAACAACAACAATAACAACGAAAACACAACTACCGCCCCCCCAAACACGCTCGTCACATGGCCCCACAGCAGCACTCTCTCAACAGCAAAACAACAACAACCAAAACATCACATGGCACGTGCAGGCGGGAGGAGATATATGCACCGCGTTTGCCCAGCACCATCTCTACTCGACGACGTGAAGCCCTCGAACAACAACAACAGCCACCACCACAACAACAAACCAACACCACCGCAACCCCCAACCCCACGTCGTCACCTGGCCCGCGCTGGCAGGGAAACCCCCCGTCGTGCTCGACGTCGTCCACGTGCCCCCCCCGAGAGTGAAGCACGAAGCACGACCGGATCAGCACCTGGAAGATCTTGTTCACCTTGTTCTTGCTCATGCGCCCGCCGTCGAGGGGCCGGGCAAGCCGGACGAGAAGAGCGTTCTGGAGACCTTTCCTCAGCATGCAGTACACGCCCTGTGCGTGCCTGTCCTGGAGCTCCCCCCACAGGGCGTGGATCACCTTCGATAGGGGGGGGGGGGGGGGGTGGGGAGATAATATTGGGGAAAAATTGGAAAAGGAAATTTTTGGGGGGGGGGGGGGGACCCCCCTTTTCCTTATTTTGAAAAACCTGGGGGGTGGGGGGGATTTTTTTTTCCCTTAATTTGCCAAACCCCCTCCGGGGGGGGGGGGTGCCCTTTTTGGGGGGGCGGGGGAAAAA